TCTACTTTATGCAAAATTTATGGTGATTTATGCAAGTGACCGCAAAAGGTAGGTGTAAAGCAACAAACATTCATGCAGTTAATGACCTGAGTACTTCAGGTCCTGTGCAAAAACGCATGATCGCACGGGCCCGCCCGGTGCGTTCCAGCCTGGTTTTATGTGTTTTGTGCTGTGTAACAGCGTTACAAAACGCATATTGTCACGGGTTTGTGTGTGCGTGTGTGTGTGTATGTGTGTGTGTCCCACATTTTGTCCCGCACTTTCAACTCGGGAACCACAAAAGCTAGGCGGCTGAAATTTTAGCGTAGTACTCTCCGCCAACGGGTGACGCGGCAAATTTAAATTCAGCCTTCCCGTACCTGCGGGTAACTCGTACGGCACCCGCCAGCGGGTGAAGCGGCAAATTTAAATTCAGCCTTCCCTTACCCGCGGGTAACGCGTACGGCCTCGGGAAAGTTTTCACGAGTAAGTTAATGTCTCGGGAACCACGGAGTCTAGGAGGCTGAAATTTTGGGATAATGACCCCCTGCCCACGCTCAACCTTGCCCATTTAAATTCAGCCTTTCTTTACCCGCGGGTAACACGTACGGCTCCGTGAAATTTTTTCACGGATAAGTTAATATTTCGGGAACTATGGGATCAAGGAAGCTGAAATTTTAGGGTAATGATCCCCCTGTCCACGCTCAGCCTTGCCTGTTCAAATTCAGCGTTCCCTCGCTGTTGAGTATCACATACGGCCTCGTGAGAATTTTGGCGGTTAAACTGTAACTTGGGAATCACGGAAAGATATTCACCCTTCAAGGTTTCGAATACAGCTTTCATGCTCTGGTGCGTGAAATTTTTAATTATTTTCTAATGTTTGAACTATTTTTGCATAGACAAAAGTTAGAAGCAGTGCAAATCATTAATAGGCAATCGTTCGAAGGGCTGAATTGCACAAAACGCATGATCGCACCGGATAGTCTGGTGCGCATTGCTATTTATTTTTTTTTTTCCTCGATCCTCACTGGCACAGTGAAACGAAAGATATGCACCTGGAATTTGTTGCTGTGTTACTTTCCCTGCTCGTCTTCGTCTCCGACACCCGAAGACAAAATTGAAAATATCGCGCAGTCGAAATTTAACGCACTCTGCCGCATATTTCCGGCCCCAGTTTCGGTAAACCTTCGAATAAGAGAGGTTTTCCAGTGATTTGCGGGTTCCGCACAGTCCTCGGATTGTCTGATCGGGCTGGGAGCTGCCAAAAGCTCCCACTACAGTGCTCATTTACTCAAAAGCTGCACTGGCTAATGCGCGCATTGCAAAGGAAAGCAGCAAGCGAAATAACTGATTATGTTGGTGCTTTGCTAGAAAAGGCCGCATGTATGCCGGCGGCACGCCGAATACGTGGCCTTCTGTCGGCGAGCTGGGTTCATGCGGTTTTCAAATTTGTCATTCACTGCAGCACGCTTTCCGGCCTTCCCAAGTTTTCTTTGGTCAGAGAGTATGTCTCTGTCACTGCGGCAATTTATAGGGCCCGCAGCGGCTTCGCTGTGCTCGCACGACAGCAGGGAAGTTGTCATTTCGCTTTTTTCCAGTGATTCCATGGACTTAATAACGCTGCTTGAGTTCATCCTGTACGCGATTGCTGCTGGAGTGGTGTCGCTGTGCCTGCTTTCGTGGTTCACCCCTTGGCCTGTGAGGACTCGGAGTGAATTGCAGCAAGCGATGTTCATATACAATCCAGAAATTTCCAGTTCCGAGCAATTCCAGTCGTTGTTGCTTGGAGGATCATTCGGGCAGCTGCAGTCCACAGATCCGGATTTGTATCTTTCGGTCGTTGTTCCAGCTATGAATGAAGCAGTACGTAATAGCTTTGTTTGAGGTGAACAGGAAATTTTATCCGCCTCTTTTAGGAGATTTTTTTTTTTTTTTTTCAGAAAAGACTTCCCGCAATGCTGGATGAGTGCTTGCCCTATCTGGAACGACGACAAGCCGCTGACCCCTTGTTCACATATGAGGCGAGCTTTTCAAAACACCTGTCTCGCAGCTTTTCGTGTATCGCGTGCGAAGGTCGGCCTTTCCGTCTCTCTGTTCTCAGACTCTGTTCGCAGTGATAAGTTCATTTCTTTGCGAAATTTGGAAAACAAATCAGCTCCATCCCTGTGCTTCACCGGTCCCTCAGTTCAGCCATTTTAGGATTGCGCTTTCATCGTTTGTTTATTTCGGTTATCCTTTTACCCCGTGAATGTTTGCATTTCTAAATATGACAAGAAATGTAGCTGTGAGGTGGAGGTGGCTACGGCTGTTTTCAACTGGGAGGCTGAGCGAACAGCGGAAAGACAGCTGTGGCGCAGTGTCTGTTGGTCTGGTGAGAGCTGAAAAGATTTATACGCAGTCATGTATGGTAGTTATATGAGCCGTAACCCATATACACCTCGACCGGATGATTTCTAGGAGGTAGCAAGCGAATGTTGTAGACCTGAATGTGCAGGCAGTTTTCTCGGGGACTTGCGTATTTGTTATAACGCATTTCAGGTTAAAGCAGTTCCAGGTGCACTGCATTGAGGGTTTCGCTGGAAGTACATATCGAAATACTCAGAGCGAGGCACCCCAAAGCGTCTTTTACTGATCCGTTGAATTTTTAAGGAAAACATGGAAGTGTTTACTTCTGTTACGTTTTCAGTGCTTATATTTGTTATGTTCTGTTGCAGATTATTGTTGTGGATGATGGTAGTACGGACGGGACTGCAGATACCGGATATAAATACACAAAAATGTACGGTGACAAGGTCAGAGTGTTGAGGCTCCAGAAGAATCTAGGAAAAGGTCATACATTCAAATTGGAGGTTACTGCTCAAAATATGTCTTGTCTTTTTATGCGTTTTTTGCAGCTATGCAATGCAGAAAACGCATATTGACGAGAGGTTGTCTGTGTGTTCGTGTGTCTGTGTGCCTGTGTGTGCGTCTGTCACGCACTTTCATCTCCGGACCTATAAAAGCTGCGATGTGTCTGTGTGTGCGCTGGGCCTCTGTATCGGTTTTTCATCTCGAGACCGGCAAAAGCTACGGAGCTGAAACTTTGGGGACTTGTGCGTGTGTGTGTGCGCTGCGCGTCTGTACCGATTTTTATGCGTTTTGTGCTGTGTAACAGCCGCGTTTTTTGCAGCTATGCAATGCAGAAAACGCATATTGACGAGAGGTTGTCTGTGTGTGTGTGTGTGCGTGCTGTATGTGTGTGTGTTTGTGTGTGTGTCTGTGTGTGCGCAGCGCGTCTGTACCGATTTTTCATCTCTCTGTGCGTCTTTGTATCTGTGTATTCGTCTGTACCGATTTTTCGTTTCGAGACCGGCAAAAGCTACAGGGCTGGAACTTTGGGGACATAATCTACATACACGCACGGGCCTCCATCCCCAAAATTGGCGCCAAAACCCGC